ATCATTTCCATTTTACAAAGGAGGAAACTGAGGCTCAGAGAGATCAAGTAACTTGCTGCAGTCTCATAGCTAGTGGGTAGAGTAACCAGAATTTAATTCTGAGCTGACTCCCGATGCTAGGCTGACTTTTGTAAATTAAAATGGATTTGGGACATTTTCATCCTCACCGACCAGTCTTGTTTTACAATTACAAAATTTTTTACACCAAAGATGAGGACTCTTGTCAGTTTTACTAAAGGCAGGGCAAGATGGCCTCTGGGAGGGCTAATTCCCTGTTGTTGTTTGCTAAGTTTTCTTCTTCCCCCACTTCTGAAAGTTCTATATGTGTTTATTTGAAGAATGAACTTAGTGATTGATTTTATCTTAAATGATGAAGTACCATTTGAGAAAATCAGCCACACTGGGCTTTGGGGGAACTGTACTCAAGGAGAACCCAGAACATGTCCTGCCACTTTGATATATAATGTCACCTGCAGGGGTGTGTGGGTGAGTGGATTCATATTTGTACTTTTCCCTTTTAATTTTGAACATGAAGGATGTGCCTAATGACTACAAACCAAATCCCTTAAGTTTAGCTGGCAGTTGTTCCATGTTTTATAGACCAGAAAGTTCTTCATGCTAGCCTCTAGGTGGGGTCGTAGGGGGAGTCCTGGGGCTCCCCTGTCCCAGCCCTGGCAAGAACTCAGGCCAGCCTGGCTCCTTGCTTCTATTAAGGAACAAGCTATGGGTATGGCCCAGGTCTTCTGGTCCTACCGAGCTGCTTCACTCACCCCGTTATCACTTCACCATCTGCCATGAGTGTTAGAAGCTGTTCTCTCCCAGAACCACTTAGCTGCAAACTGTCCTGTCTCTGTGTATCTGAGCAGAGCCTGGAAAGGATGGCAATGATCAGGCAACAGATGGGAGCAGCCTGGGAGGTGAGGACTTAGGACAGCCACTCTCGCCAGGCTCCTGGAGGATGGGAGAGAAGAGGGCAGAGTGGGGTGCAAGGTCTCAGAGTAATAAGCACGTTTTCCCTGCGCCCAGGATAATGGCAGTGGGCTTGGGCTCTTTGTTTGAGGATGTGTGTGTCCGGTTTGTGCGGGAGAGTGAGCAGGAAGCAGGACCCCCTGCACACAGAAGCTGCTAGTTCAGACTCCTGTGGTTGAATCAGGAGCTTGGATTTCCAGCCTCCTTGCCTCAGCCTGACTGAATGGGGTGGTGATTAATTTATTTAATGACTACGTGAAGGTCCTGCCGTTCTTTTATCCCTACCCTTGGTAGTGAAAGGAAGATGTAGGGCAGTCCTGGGCACAGGCTTTCCATTGGGCCTGGGTGTGCTGCAGCTCTGCCTGTGACTGCCTGTTGGCTGCCCCCTGCCCAGTTTGCCCCAGTCCCTTGGAGGCGTGTCTGTCCCTGACTCAGAGCTTTGTGAGAACGAGTCCTTGTGGCTGTTGGTGGCTGTGTGAAAATGTCTTTGGCCAGCACTTGGCTTCAGTGTTTATGGGGCTTTCAGACCAGGAGGGAGCCCTTTGGGATCACCCCCTTCAGCAGCCCCCACTGCCTAGTGCCCATGCAGAAGCGTTGGGATTGTTGGGATTGCATCTGTGTTCGGAATGAGGTGTGTGAGGTCCCTGGAGCTCAGCTGACAGAGTCAATGCTCAGTAGGTGTTACTTATGCCACCACCCTGCCTTCCATGTCTGACTTTGACTCAGGCTAGTTTTGCAGGTTAAAATATATAAATATAAACCTTTAAAATACAGAAGATTAACTGTTGAAAATAAGACTAGTGTCCCTTCAGTTCCTTTAGTCAGAACCCTGACCCATGGCATTCATTCGCATCACGGTTTAAACTCAGACTCCGGAGCCCACTGCTTGGGTTGAATCTTAGCCGTGCCATATACCAGCTGTGTAACCTTGGGCAAGTTAAGTCACCTCTCTGAGTGCCTGGCAGGTACCTAAGTGTTTATTACAGTAAATCAGATGTGTTCATATTTTGCTGTTATTTTTAGGAGCCCTTTCTAATAGATGGCTTCAGGCAAGCAGCATGGGCCCAAGTAAAGGCGTGCAGGCCATCGAGGGATGGCTGTTGTGACAGCCTCTGCTGACCACTGCAGGATCTGGCACAGTGATGGTGGTGGTGGGGTGTCCATGGGACTGTGAAGCCAGAACACAGGCTGGTGATTGGGGCTTCAGAAATGGGAGCCCAGCATCAGGAATTGTGTGTATTGAGCTCTTCACCCGCATCCCTGGCAGCTGTTGTGGCAACATTGAGTGTTAAAGTAGCCTGTAATCCTGCCACCCTGATTAAAGCTGTTTTAGTTTTTGGGTGCTGTTTTATGTGGATTTTCACATAGTTTAAGCATAGCATTTGTACCATTTTGTAATCCATTTTCAGCCAACAAATATTTTTTTCCTCTTTATACCTTTTAAAATATTTTCATTGCCAAATAAAGAAGGAAGTTGCTTTCCTTTAAAACCAACTGAAGTGTCTTAGAAATTTCAAAACTGTTCATTCCCTTTGCAGAGACTATTTCCAAGCCCAAGCTGAAAAGCTAAGGTTATTCTCTGTTTGCATATAGGATTTCCTCCTATTTCTGTTACAGTAAAAATTACGTGTTTTATAAGCTTTCGGGTAAGTTTTCTTACTCAAATTCTTTTTAAGCCATGTAACTTCCTGCTCAAAAAAGGACATGGAATTGGTTTATGTCTGCAATGGGAATATTTAGTCAGATATTCAGAGAGCTTTTTCCCACAGATATTTTTATGGGGGTCACTACTTTATCCTCCTTTCCATGAACTACAGTTTGTTATAAAAATCTGCCAAAAGCAGAATTCTTATGAGGGACTGTGCCCAGGTCACTAATGAAAGATGTCATTTAAACGTGGTGGCGATGTATAATTGAGATTCTTGGTTTCCCACCCTTCTTTCTTGAGTGGGTCTGAGAGCAGAGCCCTTTAACAAGCAGTGTAAGAGCCCAGAGAGCCGTTACACTTGGGAATTCGGACAAGGACGTCGGCTTATTCTCAGAGTGGGGGCTGGGAGTCTCAGGGCACTCACTCCTGTTTCCTTTTCTTTGGAGAGTCTGGTAAGGATCAGATGTACTGTGACCCCATGCCTTGGGTCTTCAGTCTTGAGCCTGCCCTGAGACTTCACTTGCATCAAGTTACAAGAATGTGGTTGTGCCTTGTAGAAAAAGGGAAAGATCCAAAGAGCCCTAGAATGGGAGCCAGAAGGCAGTGTCACCTCAGCCTTGTTACTACCTATTACGTAATAGTCAGGCAGCTCAGTTAACACCCTCTGAACCTTTGTTTTTCTCACTTGGCTCGCACTGGGGCGCAAATGAGAAGAGGGCAGGAAAATGCTCTGCAGGTGGGCATCCTTGAGCAAATGCAAAAGGTGAGGGCAGTGTTCCTTTCATGGCTCAAAGCTCTGTTTGGCTGAGGAGGTGTGGGAGGTCCTGCCTGGATCTTGATTGTGAAAATAAAAGCCTGAGTTGCATTGAATGGAACAAATTGGAGCTATTGGCCATGGTCAGTAAGCCCAGTAAATTCCTCAGAGAATTCCCAAAAGGATTGATGCTTCTGTGACAGAAACTTCAGATAGTTCTGACTGATTCCAGAGAGCTGTACCCCTGCCCCATGGCCTGACTGTGTCTCCCATATTACTCACCCTGAGTCTTTTCCTAGGAAAATGACCTTAGAGGTTCACAGGCTGTGGTGTAAAGTACTGTGCTTCCATTTATTTTTCCTTAATTGTCCCCTTTTACACTAGAGATTTCAGGAATAGTTTACAGACCTCCACATTCCTTTTATGAGTTGAAAAATCTGCCTGTTCACAGTGTGTGCTATTTTTTCCCGAGTGCCTTTCCAAATCTTTTTCCTCAGTCTTTCTCCATTCACCCTAATACTTTGCCCTGTGGCCCATCTTTCCACCTGTTCACATGGAGGGCCCAGGACCTAGAGGTCAGAGGTAACTGGGCCAAGTGCTCCTGTAGCTTTATGAGAGGTATCCCAATTTAAAGAGAATCATTTGTTTTTGAAGAGTGTTTTTTCTCAAATCTGGAAGGAAAAAAAAAGCTTAAAACTGATCTATTTTTAGAAAGATCACTGTTCTTTTTTAAAAAGATTATCTATCAGATATCCAAGCAACTGCATTCTAAATGTCCGTTTGGGCTCTGTTGTCCCTGCCAGTAAGACCCAAAGCAAAGGGGTTTGGTTTGTGTCGACCTTCAGTTTTCTCATAAGGTTTGCCCAAAGCTTGTTTGGGAAGTGCTGACTCAAGAAGGGTGTGGGCCCTAGACTTAGGTGGGGGCATTTTGAATTAGTCAGGTGTGTATGACCTGGGGCCCTGTGAAGCTGTAATTAAGGAGTGAGAACTGCCTTGCGGGTTTTTACTGCCTTCTTAAGGAGGAAGCTTGAGAAGGCCCTTTCTTGGTGACTCAGCAGTGGGATTCTAGAGGGATGGAGGGGTGGGTGGTAGTGGAGAAGGAAGGGAGAAATAGGGTTGTGATGGGAGGCTGCTAAGGTGAGTGAGCAGCTGGTACCTGCAGGACTTTATCATCCCCCTTGCCCTCTAGGTGTGCAAAGGCCTTGGGGTAGTGGGGCTATGAGGAAGGGTCTGGTTTTTAAAATACACCTTTTTATTTACATGTCCATAACTGAAACTATTTAGCTGTTAGGATCTACTAGATTAGGATCTACTAGACAGATTTTTAAGAGATGTAAAAGCATTTATGAATTCCCGTGGATTTCCAACATGGAATAACTTAACGGCATTCTCAGCATAATAAACTTTTCTACCTTGGAACTATTTATCAGAACCCACTAAACTTAAAAATCCTCTTATATTGAAAAAAAGGTAAACACTACCCTTGATTAAAATAGTCACACAGCTTTGTTCTAGAGGTTGAAGAAGAGTGGTTGCCATCTGAGATGGTAGCCTTGGAAATGCCATTGCCTCAGCTGGGATTCTAGCTCTGCCCTTAACACAGTTACTTCTTCAAATCTGTTTCCTCAGGTGTACAATTGGGGAAAAAGAAATAACACCTACTTCATTGGCTCACGGTGTCAAGAAAGGTAATGCACAGTGCCTGGGACACAATACGTCTTTGGGATTCTTTTCCAAGGATAAATTCTCAGTCATAGAACTATATCCCGATAAGGAAATTCTTTACAAACACTAGTGTATTGCCATCCCACTTTTGTAGATTGACTGTCAATGTCAAGCTTATCTGGATGGTTGTCCTTGGGTAGGTCATCCTTCTCAACAGTGTTAGGACTCTGTAGTTCTGTCCCCAGCAAACCATGTCATTACTCTTTCTTTGTTCTTCTCTTGCTCACAGCCTGAAATCTATTCCTGGCCTTTGATATTTCGCCAAAATGTCATTTTTATTTCTCTTTTCTTTTTGCTATAAACAACAGAGATCTCAGTATACAGTTTGAGTTTTGACAAGTGTGATACAGCCATGAGACCCTCATCCAAATCAAGATGTACATAGTACATTTCTATACTATAGAAATTCCCCGTATGCCCTTTTCCAGTCCAGTTAATACAATTAGATAATTCCCTCTACCCCTATGACTTTCAGATTTCTAGGGCCTAGATTAATTTCGTTTTCTTGAACCTAACATAAATGAAATTTGAGGCCTGTCTTTTGCACACGATGTACTGTTGTGGCCAATAGCAAGAGTTTCCTTTTATTGCTGGAGGTTTTTCTATGACTATACCACAATTTGATAATCTATTCTTTCATGATGGTATTTGGCTTTTTCTCAGTTTCTGGCTGTTAGGATAAAGCTGGTATGGCTCTTTTCACTTTATCTCTCTGAACACTCAGTGTGGTTCAAGGCTCCTCCACCTCCTAGAGCCCTATTAGCTTAAGTCTTAAACTGCCTTGGTATCTTTATCTGTAAAACGGTGAGCTGGAGAACAATTCAGGGTGGGGAACACCATTTTTAAAAAAGTCAGAGAGAATAAAATAGGAAATCACAGTGAATTACATGGAACTGCACATGTATCATACATAAATACAGTTTTATGTGTATACACATGTATGTCCTGAATCACAACATGCATTTGTTATTATGAATGTGGGCAAATCAGTTTGCAGTGCACTGATTTGTATGTATGTCTTGTAGGCCAGGAGACTGAACATCTGTGAGGTTTTTAAGTACATGCCTGACCCTGCCCTTGGGCGTCTAAAGTAGTCACAGTGCTAACAGTCACCCTCATAGTGTTTGTTATGGGTGAGCCAGAGCTTTAAAAGCTTTACATATAAAATGCAGTCTGCACAACCATTCCATGGAGTGAGTTATTATCCCCATTTTATAGATGGAGAAGCTGATAACATTGGTTATACAACTTGCCCAGGGTCACAGAACTAGATCGGTAGGGAGGGCTGTGATGTGAACCTGGACAGGGCAAGCCTAGATCTGTGCTCTACCCCACTATCCTAGGGGAGATAAAGATAGAGGCAAATGGCATATGTTGGCAAATGCAAATTAGTAATTATCTATTTAATACAATGCTCTTTCCTTTTGTTCCAGATATGAGAAATGAGTGTTGGACGTCGAAGAATAAAGTTGTTGGGTATCTTGATGATGGTAAATGTCTTCATTTATTTGATTGTGGAAGTCTCCAAAAGCAGTAGCCAAGAAAAAAATGGAAAGGGGGAAGTAATAATACCCAAAGAAAAGTTCTGGAAGATATCTGACCCTCCTGTGGCATACTGGAACAAAGAACAAGAAAAGCTAAACAGGCGATATAATCCCATTTTGAACATGCTGGCCAACCAGACAGGGGAAGTGTATGGATTTTCTAATATAAGCCATCTGAATTACTGTGAACCTGACCTGAGGGTCACATCAGTAGTTTCAGGTTTCAGTGATTTGCCAGACAGATTTAAAGACTTTTTGCTTTATTTGAGATGTCGAAATTATTCACTGCTTATAGATCAACCAGATAAGTGTGGAAAGAAACCCTTCTTGTTGCTGGCAATTAAGTCCCTCATTCCCCATTTTGCTAGAAGGCAAGCCATTCGGGAATCCTGGGGCAGAGAAACCAATGTGGGGAACCAAACAGTGGTGCGAGTCTTCTTACTGGGCCAGACGCCTCCAGAGGACAACCACCCCAACCTTTCAGACATGCTGAAATTTGAGAGCGAGAAGCACCAAGACATTCTTATGTGGAACTACAGAGACACTTTCTTCAACTTGTCTCTGAAAGAAGTGCTCTTTCTCAGGTGGGTGAGCGCTTCCTGTCCGAACGCCGAGTTCATTTTCAAGGGCGATGATGATGTTTTTGTGAACACCCATCACATCCTGAATTACTTGAATAGCTTATCCAAGAACAAAGCCAAAGATTTGTTTATAGGTGATGTGATCCACAATGCTGGACCTCATCGGGATAAGAAACTGAAGTACTACATCCCAGAAGTTGTTTACACTGGTGTCTACCCACCTTATGCTGGGGGAGGTGGTTTCCTCTACTCTGGCCACCTGGCCCTGAAGCTGTACAATATAACTGACCGGGTCCTTCTCTACCCCATCGATGACGTTTATACTGGAATGTGCCTTCAGAAACTTGGTCTCGTTCCAGAGAAACACAAAGGCTTTAAGACATTTGATATAGAAGAGAAAAGCAAGAATAACATTTGTTCCTATCTAGATTTGATGTTAGTACATAGTAGAAAACCTCAAGAGATGATTGATATTTGGTCTCGGTTGCAAAATGCTCATTTAAATTGCTAAAATGTATACATACTAAATCTTACATAGAAGGACATATCTTGAATTGTTCCCTGTTGTATTCTCTCACCTGAGGGGTAATTTCTTTGTTAAACCATCAAAATTGCCTTTGTTTAAGTAGTACCCATTTGAGGGCCTCTAAACCCTTCAGTGTGATACTTTCCAAAGAGGGAAAGCAGATCACAATTTTTTTATGGAGGATATAATGGGACAATTGGTTTTGATCCTTCCTACTGGCTAGTGGTCATTATTTTCTAATTTGGCCCTCTTCTCATCTGAAGTCATACATTTCTGGAATTTGACCATTTTAAGTTATTTTTGTTTTGCCCTCATGTGATAATATTTCTGCATTCCATTAAAATGAGTGAATTATCTGTGTTAGTATAAACCAATTGGCTACAAAGACTTTGTTATATATGACTCAGTAGTTTTTGTTAAATGGAATTATTTATTTTCACTAAATTTGGGTTTTTTTAATTGTCTAGAAAAGTTTGACTTCTGTCAAAATTTTCTGCCACCCAACAGTATTTTCTTGTTTTAAGCTAATCAGTTTAATTTTGCAAAATGAATCACTGTGTGGCATCTATCCAGTTAATCTTGTGATTAACTGGATCATAATAAGGAGAAAGTTTAACTGTTCTTGTAATTGGTTTTCTGGGTGGTATCATGATAGTTCTTTCTATTCTTAGTATTTGAAAATAATGAGTATGATTCCATAATGGCCAACTGAAGATTGAATTGACCCTGGTAACTATATTGTGTTTCTGGTTTTTCAATGTGGACTAAGAAAACATATGTAACTTCTGAACTTTAAGTGAAAACATTGAAGTTGCAGACCTTTTCATGAGTGAGTGGCTCTTCAGTTGAAAAATTCCAGGATTCTATTCTTGCCATAGTGTCACATATTGCTTATTCAATATTATCACTCTGAGTAGTGACTGCTTCCCTGTCTCAGTGTAGAAGTGCCTGTGTTTTTATTTATTGTTCAGATCAAAGACCAAAACATTTTCTTAAATATATTTTGTGTAATATTTTATTTGTATACAGTGTTGTTGATAAAATATTTAAATAGAGCATGGTATTATAAGTGTTAAGATGTTACCTATGTTAAAGAAAGCTAACTGTTATTTTTGAATTTTAAAATTTGTTTTCTTGGGGGGGTATAAACTATTAGAGTTGATAAAAATTCTGCCAAACTATTGCTTATATATACAACCTTGTAACATGCTTTCTTGAAATATTTTTGTGTTTGTAGAGATGAGGATGCCTATCTGATGTAATACTGGAGACTGTAAGAAGATGGAAATAAAGTCACTGTATTTTTAATTGTCATGTGTGAGGTGTAATAATCTATTATCTCTTTTTTATCCTGTATTTAATTATGTTTTTCCAAAAGAGGCCATTTTTCCCCCAGAAGCTATTTCAGTATACTGAACTATAGCTTTTTTTGGTCTCAATGCGTCATCTATCTTTGCATTTAAAATTCTTAAAAAGCTTTCCTACTTGGATTCTTTAAAGTGGAATATGAATATTTATTTATGTTTCCATTTTCACTGAATATAAAGAATTTAATTAGGAAATGGAGCAGCATCTTAAAGACTATCCTAAACCATTTGGGGCTTCTATCCACAGAGATGAAATATAGAGGCAGCCTTGACCATTTGAGTTTATTTCTAAGACTCACATTGAGAAGATATTGCTAATGTTCAACTAAAAACAAGTAGACATTTGATGAAGCCCCAAACAGAAGGATTAATGTTAAGAGAATGTTCAGCAGATTGTTGTCTTCTGGGTATACGGAGGCCATGTGGGATACATGTGGGAGGCCAGGGATACAGATAGTTGGTGTGGATTTGAAGACTGTTGTAAGCTCAGTCCTTCTAAACATTTCCTAACATTTCCCATGCCTGCATCTGACCCCTTTACTCCAGCTAGCACGTCTCATGGAGGACTGTTAGCTTTAGAGAAGAATAATGAAGCTCTAAGAACGTTCCCAGGTAACTGGTTAACAATTTGCATGTGTCCATAATAACTGGACCATGCATTCTTATGTCATAAATTTCTGCTCTGAAGGGAATTTCTTAAATTTTTTTCTTCTAGGAATTCTCCTTCGCTAAAGTTAAAGTGTGGAGAGAAAGAAGAGATGTAGCAAGTTTTGAAACATGTTTGGAGAGCTACTGAGGATCATTTGTGAACCTCTGCTTCATGTGGGCCATTGTTTGAACATAAGTCCTTGGTGCTGATGATGTTTGATGGGTGAGGTGATCTCTGGCTGTTCTTCATTTGGAAAAAATTCTCGTGTAGTGGTTACTGAGCCCGTGACAATGGTCACTGACCTCATGGGCTTTTCACAGAGGGTTCTAGGATTTAGAGCTTTACATGTGCTTGGGCTCAATTATGATGCTAACTGATCCTTAAATTCATGAGTTGCTCACTTGGTGCCCATCAGATGGATTCTCCCCTGAGCCTCCATCTCATGGGTGTAAGTATCATAGTCTAATTTGTTATTTGAGAACTGCTCAGGAGTTGAGGCTCTGAAGAAACTGGTGTTTGGACCTTTTCCATGGTTATTCCCCAGTCATGTTGATTTTGAGTTTGAAGGTCAAAAAGACTGAATGAGCATTGCCAAAATTTGGACTTTTCATAAACTCAACCAGGCCTCAAGAGGAAAAGGACAAAAGACCAGAATAGACTGTTTCCATCTTGACCCTGGTACCTTTCTTGACTTGGTTGAGGGAGAGCAGAAGAGAAGGGCAGGAAGTTGAGGTGATACTTTGAGTCACACTTGGAAACTGAATCCAGAATTAAAGGTACCTAAAGTTCTGCCATCCTACTTTTTTACTCCTCATTGATGATGGTCTAGAATATTTGATGTTCTGGATTGTCTTGGCTCCTTCAGATGCAGAAAGGGAGAATGCGTTTTTTAAGGCAAAGGATGACTTATTTCCACTTCCAGGAAAGCTGGAATAAATGAAGCCTTTACTTGGGTCAAAAGTTAATGCATGAAAGAAAGTTTTTTTAGCCCTTGATATATCTTGAAAGGTAGAGGCCAAGAAGTAGGCACTTTTATCTTTAAGGAACCCCCAAATCTTGTCACATTGCATGTGAACTACCATATATAATTTTAAGATGCAATACTTCTATATAATACCACTAAATAAACACTGCCAATTAAGTGTGATTTAATCAATTGAATAATATGCCTCAGTTGCAGAGATATTAAAATATGAAAGGTTATATCTTAGAATGATTGAAATACAGCATTAGTGCTATGTGTGTGTGTTTAAGTTTTTTTCAACTTAAAAACCCTTAGATTGAAAGACAGAGTCCTGTTTAGGTGTATTTCCTGCTTCCCTCCCTTTCTGTTTTTAGGAATGTTTACCCAGGCAACCATGGTGTGTTTTGAGCTTCAGCACTTGCTTTCTTCTGTGATGTGTTGTGAAAAGGATGTTTGGATGTGCTGAAACAGCAAAAGTAGAGTTCTTTATTTGATTGTAATCCAAGGCTTATTTTATTTATTTATTTATTTATTTATTTATTTATTTATTTTGGTATCATTAATATACAATTGCATGAGCAACATTGTGGTTACTAGATTCCCCCCATTATCAAATCCCCACCACAAACCCCATTACAGTCACTGTCCATCAGCATAGTAAGATGCTATAGAATCAGTACTTGTCTTTCTCTGTGCTATACTGCCTTCCCCGTGCCTCCTGCCCCACATTATGTGTGCTAATCGTAATGCCCCTTTTTCCCCTTATCCCTCCATTGCCACATATCCTTCCCAGTTCTTCATGAACATATCTCCCTGGGCAAGGGAAACAAAAGCAAAAATGAACAAGTGGGACTATATCAAACTAAAAAGCTGTACAGCAAAGGACACCATCAGTAGAACAAAAAGGCATCCTACAGTATGGGAGAATATATTCATAAATGACATATCCAAGAAGGGGTTGACATACAAAATGTATGAAGAGCTCACACACCTCAACAAACCAAAAAGCAAATAACCCAATTAAAAAATGGGCAGAGGAGCTGAACAGACAGTTCTCCAAAGAAGAAATTCAGATGGCCAACAGGCACATGAAAAGATGCTCCACATCACTAATTAATCATCAGAGAAATGCAAATTAAAACCACAATGAGATATCACCTCACACCAGTTAGGATGGTCAAGATCTAAAAGACAAACAACAACAAATGTTGGCGAGGATGTGGAGAAAGGGGAACCCTCCTACACTGCTGGTGGGAATGTAAGCTAGTTCAACCATTGTGGAAAGCAGTATGGAGGTTCCTCAAAAAACTCAAAATAGAAATACCATTTGACCCAGGAATTCCACGCCTAGGAATTTATGCCAAGCCTGATTTCTAAGTGAGGGGCCAGCAGTTGAACAAAGGGGCCTGTAGCTTCCCTGACAGCTGCTTTGCATCAGGGGACTGCACTTTCATCCTGCTCAAGCACTAAGCCAAAGGAAGAGCTTGCATCCTAAGTGTTTGCAAGGCTCCCTCGTGGCCCTGGAAGCCTACCATCCTGTGACATGCCCTTTCCTGACCTGGCTTCAACTGACATTCTCTCCCTGCTCCTCACCCAAGCCCTTTCCCAACTGGCTACCTGACCGTTCTTTTCAAGTGCCATCAGTAATCCTGATCCTGGCACCAACTTCAGCCACCTCCTCTGTAAAAATCACTGTCAAAAGAGTTCAAGTGAAAAAGATCCTGCTGTTGGTTTGTGTTCTTCCAGAAACAGACCTTAGGAGGAGAACTCCCAGCACGAGAGTTTTTTGGGTACATGGTTCTTTGGGGAAGTGATGTTGGGAAGGAAGGCAGCTAATAAGGAGTGTATGTTAAGCCAACTGCCACCGCTGAACTGGAGCTCGGTCCCATGGGGCATCTGTGGAGTAAAGTGCAAAAAACATGCCTCCGAACCATCCCTCCTGAGCCCTCGGGGCTGGGCTACTTTTTATAACAGCTTTATTGAAGTATAGCTTTCCCAGCATGATGCCGTGGTTTTGAGCAGACGGCAGCTGTGCTGTAACTAAGCGTGCTCTGACCCACCACAAAAGCAATTTGGTTTTCAGGTCATAACCATTCTCTAACTTAGTTCCTCAGAAATTTTTTATTTGGGCCATCTTTTTTCTTTTAATTTCCAAAACAATACTTGTTCTCTGGTTACTCCTCCTCCAATTGTAGGCTGTTCTTTATGCATGCAATGACTTCTTGCAGGAAGATGAATTAAGACTGTTTCATTTTGGTAATTCTTAACGAATCATTTCAGGCCTTAGTTACGCTGTTTTCACCCTGAGTCTCACGGGACAGAGTACTAAGTGATCCTTGGTCTTGTCGTGAATGAAGGACAAAGCTGACTTGTATTAGTTACTGGAAAGGGTTTCTTTTTCAGGGATGTTCACCCAGTAAGGCCACTTACCTGCATTGGAAGGCTGAGCAGGGTCTGCATGAGTGTGTCCTGGTTTGGGCTGATGTCCTTTCAGGTGCTGAGCAGGCAGGGGACCAGTAGACTGGTCCTTAGATGCTGGGGCTGCCTTTCCTCTGTTTTGTTCTGGGTCTGTTTTGGGGTGTCTATTCAGCTTCTCCTCCCTATCGCGTCCCGCCACCTAGGGCGACGGCAGGAGAACGATCACCCAAGGCCTGGTAGGAATCTTTATTATGGGCGTCCGAGCATCCATCTAGCGAAAGGCAAAAGCAAAAAACAACAACCACAACCACACCCACTTCCTCCAGGGCAGCGCTTATATAGCATATCCCAACCAATCAGCTGACTGATCACGCGCCAGGTTCAGTCTTATTGGAAACATGTGAAAAGCATGCTATGAGCACGAGCACGGAAATGGGGACAAGCCAATCATGGAGACTTCCTTATGCCCTGAGCTGTAGGGCCAGGAAGGGTGGTGTCTAGGAAGCAGGCGCCATCTTTAGAGCGTTGTCCAGCTAGAGTGGGGCTCAGCCTGGGCCGTAGGCCGGGCCCCCACGCCTCCTGACCTAACGCTGTATCTCACTGCACAGTTTAGGGAACATTTCTTAGCATGTAAGCATCTGAGCTCAGGCTCACCCAATGTGTGTGTGGGGGGTGTTCATGTACACCTTTGGGGGACTGGTCTAGCTGTTGTGTAGCCAGCCCCCCAGTATATCACCCCTACTCTGGAAGCTTTATGGGGCCTCCAGGTAGGCTGATTCCATATCCTCTGCAACCTTTTCTCATGCATGTCCTGGGCTATGTTTCTTCTTCTAGTTTGTCCATTAATACAGTTTAATGTTTCCCATATTTGAGCTGATGGTGCCACCTTCATTGCCCGCACTGACAGGGGTTTCTT